TACTACCTTCTGCCTAAGATCACTTTGGTTTGAGCCCTGCTATCCTGTTATTTTCTCCATTCCATCTGCACAAAAACGAATCAGTGGAGAGCAATGTCAGGTGTAGCCCAATATTATGGATTTACAAGGCTCTGGGCCGCCTTGCTGCCCTCGAGGGCACAGTTTGTCCACACGATCGTCTTATGTGACTGTGAAATACTGCTTTAAAAAAACAAAGGAAGGAATTCTAGGTGGAGTAAAGTTGTCTGGCGACAAATAATTGTACGGTATGGAGTGTGTGTAATAATGGTGCAGTCTCTTCGAATTCCTCGAGCCAGTTTTTCGAAAAATTGATCAGCACGTTTGGTCAAAGACTCTCAGAGAAACTATCTGCTTCTCATGAAAGGTTCTCTGCCTTGGAAACATGTGGCATTTGGAGACATTTATTAGTGGCACTGAAAGTTATTCCTCGGAGTGCCTCCGATACGCATCACTCTGTGTTCGATATACAATACAAGTAAAAGGCAAATTGGTTAAGTAGTGACTTTATATTTCATTGTAATGAGGGGGTCACTGAAAAACAGGAGAGTCGATCTGTGGAAACAGATTGTTAATAATGTAAAATACTTAAGGTGAATGACACGCAGTGTCCAGGTATATAAACGAATAATGAAACAAGAATTCAAATTATTCAGCTGTTAATATTGTGCTAGTTTGCCATCGTGAAAACAAATTTTATGAGTATAATCATGATGACTGAAAAAATTAAACCGGACTTATCGTTTTTAATCTGAAAGTTCTTATAACCATTAAGAATTCAGTAAGTATCAAAAAGAAAACAATGATTCCTCTTTGCAAAGATAAATTGGTTATTGCTGTTTATGGAATTAATTCCTATTTGCACCGACAACCATATGAGACCCATGAATACAGTCTGTGCAAAAAATACAGAGTTATTGACTTTTGTAACAGATGGTTAGGACCGTGCTTTAAATGGTTAAACGACGATTGGTGACTGATTTTGGGAAAATCTTACGAAATATAAAGTTGATAGCATAGGACAAATAGATTTGTTACACGGTGCCTTCAGACAGCTCTTCGCCAGAGGGCGTGGAGTTGACTCTTATAGCCTTGAAGGTGTTCCCTTTTCGGTACCGAACGTTCTGAATATTAATGCACAGCGTATGAAGTGTTCGTACATAGTTTAAAAACAATAAATTTGAAAACTTGGGACAACAGATATTTAAATTTTTGTCTAAAATGTGGATGCAAACAAAATAAGCTGTTAAGTGGGGCCACACAGAACTTTCCCGAACGCGGAGGTTACGCCCCTCTAAACCCCTAAGGTAAATTGTGGGCCATGTGAACCCCAGCTGCCACCATTCTTCAAAGTCTGATACAAAATAGGCCCAAGTTTCGGTCGAACCACATGCCCCTTCAAAGTATTAAGTTAGGACATTTTCAGGTCATATGCCACGCATATGAAACCCGTTTGCCATTTTAGTTGGAAACAAAACAAGAAGAGCCAAGTAAAGACACCCGCCTAGATGGGAGGATAATATTAAAATAGATCTTAAATAAAAATCGCGTGGGTTAAATTCAGCCTGTTCAGGATAGGATTGAGTGGTCCTTAGTGAATGCAGTATTGAACTTTGGGGCTCCACAAAGACAGGGAACGGAGTCGACTTGTCACATTTTATTTCTCGATATTTTTTGCACCGATAGTAGTTGTAACCAGTTAGGTTATGGACCGGTCGCTTAGATTTCCACCTGATCTCTCTCTCTCTCTCTCTTTCTTTTTACACTCTCATAGAAGTGAAACTGGTTCTCGAAACTTGTGTCAGTATGGCTTGATCTTATCGAACGTACGCACGTGTCTGAAAGTTCTGTCTTTATTTCATAGCTTCATGACTTGTTTGTACCGAATTGGTACAATAAATAGAGCAGTGTTGGAAATGTCATCACCTGAACTTTCCTTCTCCGTGTTTTGTTTCGACCGATTCCATTTTCAGTTTCTTCCTTTCTGTTTTTATAAAAATTAGAGGACTTGTGTTTGCAGTTAACATTTTTAACTTTTGAGATAAGGCGCTGCGTAAGTGCCCTGTAGAGACACTTGATTGTCAGTCAACACATTAAGACACCATACCATGTAAAGCGCCTAAAACATGTGACATTTCCCGTCACTCTATTCTTCAAAGCCGTTTTTATCCTCGGTGTAATATTATTCAAACTGTATCTCATAACAGAACCACCCACTTGTTTTTATTAGCAGGTACTGCCCTTAGACTTCATTTGTTTTAAATCTTGTTACTTTGCTCGTTACGTTCAGTAAACGATTATTTCTTATTACCAATCTTCTTATTCCAGTTCAGCTACCCTTTTCGTTTAGTGTCTATTTCCAAATCTTAATCTTGTTTTCGTTTGTAATATTTAGTTTAACACCCTTTAAGAAATAATGAAAATTACCCTGCACAAAGCTAACAATAAAATGTAGCAGTTGTTCTGAGTAACTTAATTCTCTGACAGTAATTCAAAACCTTGTTACTCTATTACATGGCAGCAGAAAGTAGGATTTAATTAAGACTTTTCGAAGTAAAGTGGACCAAGTTACAAACCTAATTATTGTATCCACTTAAAGTCGTAACTTTATACTACGAGAATTAATACTAACGAGTATTAAATGCATTCGTCTTTGGCCTGATGGGAAGATTTCGAATATTTGTGCCTTTGGTACAAAGTTCCGGTTTGTAAGAAAACCAGTCAATAGTTCAGTTAATACTAATAAATAATGTGTAGTTCTAATGAAATGCCTACTTGAAGAAGCTTTCAGGATAGACAGCGAAACGACTTTCAAAGCGATTATTTGAAACCTTTTATTGATTTAATGGAATCGTGATGATTTGATTTCGTGTGCCATTGTTGTCTTGAGCTTCAGCTGTATCATATGAACCCAATATTGTAGTCTCGTAATATTGAATTTCTCTAGGCGTTCACCCGTAACTCGGATTGTTGGTGCTGCAAGTGGAACGAAAAGAATGAGACCTTCTTTTGTTACCGACTAAGTTCTGCTGACCTAACGGCAATTCTAAATACTGCAAAATCTAAGAAAGAAAGAAAGACTTTTTTAAATCAAAACCTACTTGTCTTTATTAAAAACAAAAGAGACTTTAGAAGCCCGTAACACTAACAATCGATAATTTTAGGGACAAAGAAAATATCTGTGCAATGTAGTCAATATACGCTCATATCTGCATTGCCCTCTAAAGGAGAAGGAAAGTTTTGAATTCAGATCGTTAATATAAATAATACATTTTTCTACAGGACAACTTACGCTTTGCTTGAACCATAACTTCATTTTTAGGAGATACCCTCTCATTCCAAAGACCCAACAAATTCATTATTTTCTACCTGAACGAAATTATATGACTATGGGGAAAACCCTTGCTAATCTCGACCCCACAAACCTGTAGGAACAGTTATCCTCGACGTAAAATACAACACGTCCATATCAGGATTGACCTAATGTTGCCGTGTTGTTGCTCAGGCAATTAAAAAATGTTTCACTTTTACGAAACTTCAAAGTTCGCTACCGCGTTCATAAAAGCTCGCTATTGGAACGCTTTCCACTTCACATCTTCATGAAATTTCCTCTACAATCTCTTGCAACGGTGTCGCGTCCATGCGTGCTTCATGTTCTGCCCATCGCACACAGCTTGATTAATCGTCCTAACGAAATGCGTTTTGTTTCCAAACAGCTTCTTTGTTCCAAGTGCCTTTTACCCCTGTGTGACAATCTGCGCTCCTACCGACAGCAGCTTTAAAACTTTTCGCTGTTAATAATACTCGTAACGTTGAACATGGTGATATCACTTTGTTACCGCTTATAATGTGTTGAATATGACTGTAAAATGGTTTAGGTCATACTATTACCATCATGAGAAGGGAAGGTCAGGTAGGGTTTTGGAGGGTAGTAAATGTTTATGGGTCATAGGGCTGAATGAACAGCCAGCCACTTGTTGCGTTCCTTACTGCCTGGCGCAGATATTCAAACGGTGACATGTGCAACTTTACGTCCTTTTTGCATCCTTGCCGAATTTTTAACCTGACTGCTTCGTATTCGGGAGATCTCTTTACGCAGATATTCAAACGGTGACATGTGCACCTTTACGTCCTTTTTGCATCCTGCCGAATTTTTAACCTGTCTTCTTCGTATTCGGGAGATCTCTTTGTCATTTCTAGGTTTGGTGACTTGCTATCCTGACCGTGGGTTTTCGTGCTTTACTCAGCCCTCCAGGATTATAATTTAAATCAGGCCACGACCGCTTCCATGTACTTCCAAATAATTCGTTGATCGTCCTACAATTCGATGCTATGTTACCATGTGGGGCATTGTTAGTCATCCGAAGTTATTGTTGCGCTGAGAGTGTTTCCAACAGTGGTCTCAGGCCATGGTTACACTAATGGGATCTGGGGTAATTGTTGCACAAAATTGTGTTTGAACAACGCCTTTGGTTCCAATAGATGTGCAACAGGTCGTGTGGGTTGCCTGCGTCCTAGGGAAACCCCCGATAGACAGGGCTTGTCTAATCAATCCGTGATGATGGATACAGATCGTCTCCGAAACGTTGGAAACGAAATCTGTGTAGACACGGCTGTTCGCCCGAAGAAACTTCAAATCAATGTATATAGATAAGTACTGTACTAACTTTAAAACAGTTACCCGCATAATACGGAGACTTCGATTTTTTGTGTCTTAATTTCATCAGCTCCATCATGCCCTCAACCACATGTCAGTTATTCTTACCACAGACAATGGCGTTATGTGATATTGTTTTTGCTACATCAGTTTACTTTGTAACTTCTGCCTTGTGTTGTTGTTGGTATTATTATTATTACCCCAGAATCCGATTCCGTTATCCTTGTCTCTGGAACGAATTGTTGTCATTAGGCCCGCCTCAACTTGTTCGACGTCCGATCCTGATATTTTGCCACCACGTCTGAACCTTCTGTCGTTGTCGCAGGTTCATGTATACTTCTCCGCGCTCCCGGAGGACAAGGTACCGTACGTGAACTCGGTGGGGGAGCGGTACCGAGTACGACAACTGTTGCACCAACTGCCACCCCACGACAACGAGGTGCGCTACTGCCATAGCCTGTCCGACGAGGAGCGTAAAGAACTTCGACTCTTCTCCGCTCAGAGGAAACGAGAGGCTCTGGGTCGCGGCTCCGTCCGGCAGCTGCCGGCTCAAATGACGTGCGATGCGGTAAGTACAGGAACTCCGCCCTTACTTAAGTAAGCACGAAGCTAATCAGACTGTAGTCTGACCTCTTGTGTGTGGTTGGAAGAGAATTCCGATTCCATCCTCACATCAAAAGCCTGCACGGTGTGATACGGGCTCAGTGCACATTAGTGAGTTCCAATAGTGACCTCTCTTCCAGTTGCTGCTCAACAGTGACCCCGTAGGAAGAGCGCGACAGATAGACATGGAAGGCCCGGCCCGTAAGGTGTTTTTCGCTCAGAGCGTGAACAACTCCGAATATTCTAGAAATTAGGAGTAAAAACTATTTTAAAGCGACCTCACTTTTGTGACAGATAAAAGTAGTCTTTATCAGTGGATGGTTTTTTTAAAAACACACACGTCTAAGAGTTAATTACTTCAAACAACTATTTAATTCCACCGTAGCAAATTGAAAGGATTAAGTAGGGTCCTGTATTTGCTTTGCTGTGTCGGTTGGGGGGAGGGGGGTTATTTGAGTTTCCATGCCATGAAGACAAAGAGCGGGGTGAGATCCCTCACTCAAGTCCTTGGAGTTAATAAAGCTTCTTGAATGTTGCTTAAAGCTCATTCGTTTAAGACGAAGTGGTTTCGAACCTACAGGTTAA